ATGAATACAATATACCTTAAAAAGATGGGGCTAAAAAATTATTTAAAAATAAGGTTGTTGGGACTCCTTGGTGGTCCAGTGTCAAGACTCCATGCTTCTACTGTAGGAGAGATGGGGTTCGAGCCCTTGTCTGGGAACTAAGATCCTGCTAAAAAATAAAGTTTTATATATGGAGATGTGATTTTGATGTAGGCTGTAACAAACCGTCTTACTATTAGGAATTTATATTTAAAACAGCTAATCTCACAAATTTGCTCAAATTCTGTTTATTTTGAACACAGCAAAATATTAATATAAGAGACAAGCTTTTCCCATATATTTGTTTGAATTTTTCATGGCAACCCCCACCATGTGGTGAAAAAATACTCAAGGTACTGACAGATACACCGTCTTGAAGATGAAATTAATTTGTAAATAGAAGAAATAATAAGCCCCTGCTCAGAGTGATGGACCCTGAATTGTCCAGCTTCTTAAATGGGAACATAAATTCATTCCATTTGGCACACACCAGCAAATCTTCCTGACTTTTGGGAAACATACTGAGAACACATTTGAGCATAATTTGATAACTGAGTATATCATTCTGGTGATAACAATTGAGTTTTTTTTTTCTTTACCATTAAAACTAACATTTGCCATTGAAACAGTAAATATGTCTACTTCTGAAGCTCTAAAACATCAAACATTTTAACGAAGGACTCTTGCCTTCAGTGGTTCTGATTCCTTTGGTGATAAGACAATACCAGGTCTAATTTCTGACTTATACGCTTATATTGTTAAGGGAGGGCTTCTTACTCTTCTTGCTTGACAGCATCCCTTGCTCATTGTATCATTTGGAATATGCTGACAAAGTCTTTTCATATATTTTTGGAGCACTTAGGATTCTCTTGCTACTTGGTCAAGACTAAGTGGGTTTCTGACTAAGAAATTTAACTGAATCATGAAGGGTATTTAAAGATGACTAGACAGGGTGTTTTAAATTAAAGGATCTGTCTGAACCAGAAAATAGAAACACCCTTAGTTATCTTTCATGGGGACAACGTAGGGAATTTTGTGTTTTCTGGGTCTTGAGGTATATATTATGGTTTCAACTTGAACTTTTTCCCCTCTTTCTCTTAATTGGTAACTAATTTCTAATATACTCTTCTTAAGTTTTCAAACCTGAAGAATTACGACAGGCACTGATGCCAACATTGGAGGCACTTTACCGACAGGATCCGGAATCCCTACCCTTTCGTCAGCCTGTGGACCCTCAACTTCTAGGAATCCCTGTAAGTATGTGGGTGGTACTTCTCATTTCTCTTACAGTTTGTTAGCAGCTTTTTAAAGATAGAATTCGCATATTATACAAACCACCCATTTAAGTGTACAATTTAATGGTTTTTTGTATTAACAGAATTGTGCGACTATCACCACAGTCAGTTTTGGACCATTTTTCATCTTCCCAAAAAAGAAACTCTGTCCATAAGCAGTCACTTCCATTTCTGCCCACAGTCCCCCTGCTCCCAACCAGCTGCTGGCCTGCTTTCAGTCTCTGGTTTGTCTATTCTGGACATTTCATCAAATGGAGTCTTGTAGTATGTGGTTCTTTGTAACAGGGTTCTTTTCATTTAACATAATGTTTTCAAAGTTTGTCCATATTGTAGCACAAATCAGTACTTCATTCTCTTATGACCCACTAGTATTTGTATGGATATACATAGATTCTCTTTACCCACTCATTAGTCAGTAGTTATTTGGGTTTTTTATACTTTTTGGCTGTTGAAGATAGCGTGCTTGTGAATGTTTACATACAAATTTATGTGTGTATCTTTTTATTTCTCTTGGGTATATATCTAAAAGTGGGATTGCTGGCTCATATGCTTTATTTTTATCAGTTGAGCGGCAGTAGTTTCATGATAGAAAAGATAGACCCAAATTAGCTTCATCTGTTTTTAAAGTTGCCTTTATACACCAGACTACTGGCAAGTTTCATTTGAGAATTTTAAGTGGTGTTGGATAAGGCCTTGGAGTACTTCAAGGGGTAAAAATCTGTTGGAATCTTTTGTTTTTTTCCCCCTCTGTTTTTATAGATGAATCACCAATGATCTTAGTTTCATCTGTAGGCCCCGTCTAGTACTAAAATGCTAAGGGTCTTTGACTTCTTGGTCTTCAAGTTGATCACACACATACTATAATAAAGTGCCTGGAATTGCTCGTTTAGACCATTAGCTTGTTACGAGAAAGTCTAGGATTGAAGGCAAAAGGAGAACAGGGTGACTGAAGATGGGATGGTTAGATGGCATCACTGACTCAATGGATATGAGTTTGAGCAAACTCCAGGAGATAGTGAAGGACAGAGGAGCCTGGCGTGCTGCAATCCATGGGGTCGCAAAGAGTCAGACACAACCAAGCAACTGGACAACAACAAAAAAGTTGAAAATAGTTGTTATTAAGCAGACGGGGCAGAGAGAATATGATTTAAGGAAGTGTTGGGGGACTTCCCTGGTGGTCCAGTGACTTAAGAATCAACCTTGCAATGCAGGGGATTTGGGTTCAGTCCTTGATTGGGGAACTGAAATCCCACATGCTGGGGCGCATCCAGGCCTGAGTGCTTCAGAGCCCGCATATACCACAACTCGGGAGCCTGTGTGCCACACGGACAGATCCCACATGCCACAACTGAGATACGATGCAGCCAAATAAACAGATAGATTTTAAATAAATAAAAGATGTGATGGACATCAATCATTTCTTTGAACATTCAGACACATCAGAGATTCAGCGTTACCTAGAAAATTTAAAATGGTTATAGCTAGTTATGCTGTGGACCTTGAATATACTGAGATTTTTGGTAATGTTGTTTGGTGTCACTTTTCCTTCTAGGATTACTTTGATATTGTGAAGAGCCCTATGGATCTTTCTACCATCAAGAGGAAGTTAGACACTGGACAGTATCAGGAGCCCTGGCAGTATGTGGATGACATTTGGCTCATGTTCAACAATGCTTGGTTATATAATCGGAAAACATCACGGGTGTACAAATACTGCTCCAAGCTGTCTGAGGTCTTCGAACAAGAAATTGACCCTGTCATGCAAAGCCTTGGGTACTGTTGTGGCAGAAAGGTAAGAAGTTTTTGCACAGATAAGAATTACATTGAAAACTTGACCAGTTATAATCCTTGAATCATCAGATTTTAAGTTCATCTTGAGTTAGGGACTTGGTCATGTTTACCTGTGGTGCACTGTGCCTGGCATGTGCTAGTTTTCCTGTGTATGCCAACTCACATTGAACAACTCCTGTCCTCTTTAGTTCTTTGGTAGCTGGTGGAGAAATCAACAACTGTTAAGCTTACCTCAGAATGGTGGAATAGTACAGTAGTAAACTAGAATGGTTTTAGTTCAGTGAACTGTCTTAGAAACTGAAATTGCCCATTGTGAGAGACATAATGAGGACTAAGGCTTCAGTTCTCTTTCTGATGTGCCAGTGTAAATATTTTAGCTTGCCCTTCAAACCATATTCACCGAATGGTTTCTCTTGCAGTTGGAGTTCTCTCCACAGACACTCTGTTGCTATGGCAAACAGTTATGCACAATCCCTCGTGATGCCACTTACTACAGTTATCAGAACAGGTAAGCTCGACCTGTGTGGACCAAGGTCACAGTGTCCGCGTGTCCAGGGAGTGCATGCGGATGGACCAGCACACATACAGTCATGGTTCGTGTGTGACTTGCCTGAAAACAACTGTACAGCACAAGTTCTGGCCTTCGCATACCGCCTTTGAAAATTATATGATTTTCTAGCAGAAAGGAGCCTGGTGTCAGTTGTCTGGGCCCATATTTCTATAAGGCATGAAGAAGTCAAGCAACTTTATGAGTTGGTAGCATACATGAGGTTATGTCCCAGGCTCCACATTCTTTTCCCACTGTCTTTTTATAGCTTACCACAGCCTCTGGCAAAACAGAAAATTGTCAAATTAATTGGTCTGTCTCTCCATGAAATTCCCAAAACTACCCAGAAAACTTTTAACCAGAAATTTGTTACCCAGCTGTATCTTTTAGGAAATAATGCCCTTTTTGTGTGTAATGGATTCCTCAGTTTTTCTTGAAGCATATAAAGTCAGAGGATCCCAGGGTACTTGCTTTTTTCTCTATTAAGTACATCAAAAGGCACACCTCCAAAAACAGCTCAGTACTGGATTGTTCCTTACAAGATGCACATGACAGTGGATGGTATGCTTTTACTAAGTTAGCGACACTTCTGCAGCCTTTTCTCCTGCCAAAGTAAGGACTATAATCACACGGATTGCATTCATTAATCATGATTTGTCTCTTATTTTGTGAAATCAGTCAACAGTTTGTACCTGGCATGGGGTGTTGACTTGGGGTCTAAGACAGTCTAAGATAATGGCTGGACAGTCAGTACTTTGATAAAGTAGCCCCCATGGTGGTGGCTTTTTGCTGAACTTGTGCACTACAGCTGTATTTCTAGCTTTGAAAAAGTCACTTAAACTTTTTGTTTTATTTACAAAAAGCTGCATTCTCCTAATGCTTTGTAGTTGTAAGTAAGAATCCAGTTTTTTACTCATGAAAACCTAGAGAAAAAATGGGTCTCAAGTTGTTATTAGCACCTTATGTTCAAAAAAAGCAAGTGACAGCTGGCATGCTATAGTCTCATGCTATAATCTTGGCATTTATATACCATTTTTGGATTTTAAACACCAGTCTACAGTGCTTCCAGTCTTTGTACCAAGGAATATGTAATCGCATGTCTGCACATACCACTGCCTTTCATTTCCCTCTCAAACTAGGTGGCTACAATCAGTATTTAACTGCTTGTGCAGACTTTTTATTGTACTTTCCTTGGAATCAAAGAGAAATTGGTGTTTTTTGTTCTTTTCAGACCAAAATTGTTTCTAGATGATTATTTCCTAGTACTATGTCCATAGTGGATTTTTGTTTATCCTATCTTTGATTACTTGCATCAAGTAGCATTAATTACCCAAATGAAAAGGTATAGGTCTGTGTGAGACTTGTTTATTTGCTGTAATCATTTGCTACTTGTGATCCCATTGAGATATTTAATGCTAATCTGTGCTTTGCCTTGGCTTTCTGCTTTGTGTTGTCTTGTCTTGCTTTTATGTTTTTTGTTGCCCTGCAATCCCTCATTTCTTCGTTTGTTTTGTGTTTTTTTTTTTCTCCCTCATGCTTGTCGTTGTCTGCACTTGGCTTTGATTGCAAAAACCAAAACCCAAACTGTGGTGCCCATAAATCTGCATCATTGAATGTCCTTGTCGCCGTTGATGACCTGCTCTCTGCTCCCGTCCCCCTCCTTGGCCTGCTGTGATTGGTGGCTTCGTTGCTTGGCTTGGGCTGTGTTGTGTGAACGGAACAGTTCACCCCAGTATGGCCTTCTTGCCGACAGGTATCATTTCTGTGAGAAGTGTTTCAATGAAATCCAAGGGGAGAGCGTTTCTTTGGGGGATGACCCTTCCCAACCTCAAACGTAAGTAGCTATACTGTCTTTTCAGTTTGTTGTCAGGTGATTGTCCTCAGGCTTCTAAGTGATCTTGGATTTTGTTGTCCAGGACGGTGTAGCCACAGGTAGCTATTTTAAATGCAAATTAAATAAGATTTAAAATTTCTAATTGGTGCTCCATAGACATTTGTGGCTCGTGGCTGCCATATTGATCAGCATAGATGGAGAACATTTTGATCATAGCAGAAGTTCTCTCAGTACTGATTTAGGTGGGGGTACAACAATACTGGATGGTAATAGATTCCTTCTACAAGGAAATAGCTTCTCCTAAAAAGTGAAAGTGTGGAGTGCAAAGTAATTTCGTCATTAATTGTTTTGAGTTTGAGGAGAATTGAACAAATAACCACCATATAGCCTTCTCATAAAGGTTAACAATACCAAAATTCTTAGAATCGTGAGTATCATAATATCGTTAGGGGTTTAGGAGGTTGTGAGAATGACTTATTATAAAGGGACTTGGTTGGACTTTTGCAGTCCACAAGCTGTTGTGGTTTGGTAAATGCCAAGAACATTTTTTAAACATTGCCTGAACTGCCTCTAATCTATAAGATTCAGGCCGTCAAATTTTTCACTCTTTTAGGAAGAAAGAACTATTTGGTATCCTTTAAATATTCTTCTCTTCCAATTTAACCTATAATCAACCAATTCAGAACATTTCTCATAGCAGTTCAGAATTGTTACGTTACTAGTAAAAACGGGGCTTCTGAGAAAAACTTGGTGTCTTCAAATTGGATTTTAAAGTTGTACTTTTCCTTCAGTCACCACTGACATATAAAATGGTGGGGTCTGGTACTGGTTTGGGTCCCCTTGAGCCTTGAGATTTTCTAACCTTGGCTAACCAGGGAAGTCAGGTCTAGGTAGGTTTCCCTGATGCAAAAAAGGGAGGCACCCTTACCACAAGTTCTGTACCTTAGGACAGCAGGTCTCTGACTTTGAAGTGTGTTAGGAACCCCTCTTCCAGTTCTGCAGTTGGCAGTGAGCCCAAGAGCGCGAGTTACTGACAAGTTCCCAGGTCCTTCAAGGCTGATAGTCTTCTGAACACACTTTGGGTAGCAATACCTTAGGGCACGTAGCGATGAATGTGGAGTCTGTAACTAGGAGAAAACAGTTTGAGTGGGGAAATCGCTTCATTTTTATGAGGTAGAATCACAGTAGTCTAAGTTAGGCCCCTAACTTAAAAACACTCTTAAATTTTTTTTTAAGTTTGTTGTAGGTGGCCTCCTGTGCTTGTGAGACTGTGAGCAGTGTGGTAGGCTAGATTTCAGGATAGGAGGCCATGTGAAAATTTTTTAATGAACCCTTTTTTTAAAATTAATATAAAAAGTTGCTTGACTGGACTGTCCTAAAAAAATTTTTTTTTTTAATAGTGGTTTATCTACCCCTATACACACTGTCTTTCATACTGCTAGACTGAGCTGTCTAGAAACATTAAACTATTCAAAGGTATAAATACCTAACACTAAGAGTAGTAGGCAAAATTTAAAAAGGAAAAGAAAAAAGTACAAATTCATGCTTTTAGGTCTTACTGGGTTCTCCTGTCAGTGGGAACAGATTTACCATAAAGTCATTTCCAAAAACATAGGCATGTAAACGTGCGTTTTGTGGGAGCTAAGAATGTACCAGCTGTGTGCTTGATGTAGTCTTAGGTTTAAATAATCTCCTTACCAGGTGGGGTTTCTGTCATTTGGTAGTTAGAACAATAGTCAACTTGCTAATCTTCCTGTGTTGCTTTTTCTCATTGTGTCCTCTTCTTTTCTTAGTACAATAAATAAAGAACAATTTTCAAAGAGAAAAAATGACACTCTGGATCCTGAACTGTAAGTAGTTCCCCTTGAGTAGTACACTTTCATTTCCCTTCTTCCTTTCATTCTCTTGGTTTGTGCAGCTAGTGTGATGATGCTATTATTCTTGGGCTAAATCTGTAACCTACATCTAGCAAAAAAGGTAGAAATGTTAAAAATTGAGGTTATGGTTTACATTTACATTTCACTACATCTTCCTATTATTTTGGTGCTTTATAGGTTCAGGTGAAGCACCAAGCTACCTCTGCTCAGTGCCATTATTCCAGCCTTGTCCTCTGTATTTTCCAACCATTTCATAATTCCCTCCTTAATTGTGACACCTTTCAGAGGTACAGAGATGTACTGGTACTAGGCATTCCTGGAATAGACAGGATGGTGTCAGACTTGGAGGTTTAAGCAGCAGTCATCTTTTCTTTCACTTCTTACTCCATAGTCATAGTTCTGGTTTAATGACTGAATTTAACTGTGTTTGAGATTCGCTCTACCTGTTACACTAAAGAGCTTTTAAACACTTATTAGTTCAATTCTTTGGACATGATTTTGGCCATCTCTTGAATTGTCAGAAAATGAGAAACAGCAGCAGCTTTGATTTGGTTAAAGTTTTGGATTTAACTCAGCGTTTTGCCTTTGCAGGTTTGTTGAGTGTACAGAGTGTGGGAGAAAGATGCATCAGATCTGTGTCCTTCATCATGAGATCATCTGGCCATCGGGGTGAGGCATCAGTATTTTCCCTAGACTTTGTTGTGAACTTTAGCAAGTTTTTGTCATCTTTGCAATGATTGTCTTTTAACATCAAAATTATTGCCTCTTAGAATTATTCTCTGGATTGGGAAAAGGTCATTAAAATTCAGTTTTGAAACAGTAACAAACCTGGAATCCAGAACAGGTGTTTTCTCCTATTGCATTGTGTTAGTTTGATTCCCTGGTAGCTCAGACGATAAAGCATCTGCCTACAGTGCTGGAGACCCGGGTTCGATCCGTGGGTCGGGAAAATCCCTGGAGAAGGAAATGGCAACCCACTCCAGTATTCTTGCCTGGAAAACCCCATGGACTGAGGATCCTGGTAGGCTACAGTCCATGGGATCGCAAAGAGTCGGACACGACTGAGTGACTTCACTTCAGTCCGTGTATAAACACTTCTCTCTGCTGTTTCACTTTTTCTAAATTCTTTGGTGGTCATTGTGCATCAAAAGTAAATATAGAGGATTTATCAATAGAGGTAACAGGAAATCTGTAGCACCTAGAAACTAGCAAGGAAATGTTAGACACAACTCAGTGTTAGTCAGTCAGTCATGTCCAACTCTCTGTGACCCCATGGACTGTAACCCACTAGGCTTCCATGTTCATGGGATTTTCCAGGCAAGGATACTGGAATGGGTTGCCATTTCCTTCTCCAGGGTATCTTCCCAACCCAGGGACAGAACAGCTCTCCCACACTGCAGGCAGACTACTGACTGAGCCATAGGAAAGCCCTTAAAATGTTAGTTGTGTCAGCTAAACGTCACAGATTTTAAATGTTGCTAATATTGCAGTAGACTAGATGATATGGATAATGGAGGACGCCAAAACGACGACTTTGTTTCTGCTTCTGAGAGAACATTGCAGTGAGATTGTATACTGAATGGTGGCCCTGGTTAGAGTTTGAATTATTTAAAGTCTTTTGGGCAGTTGGATAACAGGTAACATGGGTGTTCCCCCCTGAAAGGCAGAGATGCATGAAAATGATGAGATACAGACTTCAGTGAACTAGATATTCTTGGGCCTTGTGTTTTGTTTCTTGAGTTATTCTCCACATATCTACTCAGGCTGCATATCATCAGTGCCTTTCACGGAAATAAGTGGATTTTTGTCCATTGTGACACTTAAATGTTTACTGCCACGGCTGCCTCTTGCTCTCCAGGAATGAGGCTGCTCCCAGCTCTGTTCAAGGGAGGGGATGTAATTGCTGGAACAAAGAGAATGTACATATGAAATCTAATAATGCTACTTTCAAAATGTCCCTTGATATTTCCACCGGTAGCATATAGACTTTTGCCAATGTGATTGGCCAAAAAATAAAATTTCGGCTTTAACCTGTGATTCTTCACCATTTTTGCACATGTAAGCTAATTTGTATGCTCTTCATGTCTTTTACTTACCTTTTCTTCTTAATGTTTTCTGAAAGCTCTTTGTACATTGGTTATATTTCTCCCAGGTTGTTTTTTTGTTGTTGATTATTTTCAACTTTACACATACTTGAGATAGATTCTGTAGAGTGCGTTACTTTAAATTCTTCTCTAACTTGTTTAAACAAAGTCTTGGTTTACATTTTAGATTTGTCTGTGATGGTTGTTTAAAGAAGACTGCACGAACTAGAAAAGAAAATAAATTTTCTGCTAAAAGTAAGTTCCATTCTTACAGGTAAATTTCGGGAAAACTTCACTGTTTAAAATTAACATCCAGAATGAATTATATAAAATGAATAAAAATTATTCATTAAAATAATGAACATTATTTAAAATATTTAACCAAACTAAACACCAAATAATTTTTCCATGCAGTAAATATCTGTAATATTGAACTGTAATATCCTTTTTGGTGTGAAATTAATTACACCTAATAATGTGTTAAAAGGAGCAGATGTATTTTTCTTGTTCCAAGACATTTCCTGATAGAGGCCAGAATTGCCTCCCATGAGTGATTCCCTCAGTTTTGTGTGGGGCTGTTTAGCCCTGTGGATCTTCTCCATCGGGTGGGGTGGCAGTGGTTTTAGTTTGTAGGTCGATGCCTCTGCAGTTTTCTGCTGTTCTGTGTTGTTGTTGTTGAGTCGCTAAGTTGTGTTCATCTGTTTACGACCCCTTGGACTGCAGCATGCCAGGCTCCCCTGTACTCCACTATCTCCCTGAGTTTGCACAAATTCATGTCCATTGAGTCAGTGATAATCTTTCTAGTATTGAAAAAGCAGAAATGAGATATGGTATTGAAATTTGACTGATAGTAATAAATGTGCACCTTGGTTACTCCTGAACTTGTAACTTGTAAATTCCTAGGACTGCCATCTACCAGGCTTGGGACATTTCTGGAGAATCGTGTGAATGAGTTTCTGAGGCGACAAAATCACCCTGAGTCAGGAGAGGTCACTGTTCGAGTAGTTCATGCTTCTGACAAAACTGTAGAAGTCAAACCAGGCATGAAAGCAAGGTATCTAGTAATTTCCCCCTTTGTTCTCTGTGGATCCACAATTGTTCACACATAGTTACTATTGATGATTCTGATCTGAATGAAATGTACTTTTTCCCTCCACTGTGAACTGTATAGATTTGTAGATAGTGGAGAGATGGCAGAATCCTTTCCATATCGAACCAAAGCCCTCTTTGCCTTCGAAGAGATCGATGGTGTTGACTTGTGCTTCTTTGGTATGCACGTTCAAGAGTATGGCTCTGACTGCCCTCCACCCAACCAGAGGTAGGACTTTACTGTGGCTACTTTCTAATTTGTGTGGAAGTTTGAAATTACAGTAAGGTGAACAAGCATAGTGAATAAGAAAATGTTTGATCTTCTTTTGGAAATGCAAGTTCTCGAGTGTGTAGCATAGAAGTGAAACCCAAAAAAATTAGAAAATACTGCTCTTTCTTGTTCATAATAACAGGGAAAGGCATATGAATGGCAGCCTAAAATATGACTTTTCAGAAAATGCACTTAAATCGAGGTTGTGTCGAGTACATTCTTGAGATAGATGTGAAAGAATGTCACACAAATGAAGTAGAATATGGTGTAGAATTTTCCACATAGTATAAAAGCCAGAATAAGAGTGCTGCAGAATGTATTTGGATCGCTCAATAGTGACTGATTATGCTGTGTCTGAGACCCCCGTAGGTGCTCAAATGGTAATAGAGCCACAGACCCACAAAACTCCCCTCATGGGCTCATGATCTAGTCATTTATCTAAATAACTGTAATGTTGTGTGATAAGCATTAAAAATGACAAGGTAAGCAAAGGGCACAGAAAAGAGAGATGTCTTTAGCCACATCATTAGAAACTCATTATGCAACTTGACCTGACTTCTTTCTCCCCATTTGATATAGGAGAGTATACATATCATACCTCGATAGTGTTCACTTCTTCCGTCCTAAATGCTTGAGGACTGCAGTCTATCATGAAATCCTAATTGGATATTTGGAATATGTCAAGAAATTAGGGTAAGCATAAAACCAAATGCTGGTTTTAAAGACAACTTGTTTAAGCTGATTAGTTTTAAACTGATCACCACTGTGGTATTTTGGTGAGATATAGTACATGCAAATACGTGACTTTTTTTTTTTTTTTCCCTCCACTTTGGCTTTCATCTGGCAGAACTATAACTTGGAGACCCTTTGAAATTTTTGGCTTTGCCATGGGAAAGAAATGAATATTGTGACTCTGGTTGCACCCATCCCAAATTACTTTATTTTGTTCAGTTAAGCCATTTGATACAGTTTGATATGAAGAGCCAGAACTTTTAACTGCACTTGATCCTTTCACACCTCTGAGTATCAAAACCAAAATCACACTAAGTTCTGGAAATACAAAACTCCTTCATACTGGTTCCTTACCTTCAAGGTATATATGTGCTTGAGAACGTTTAGCACCTCACCTTGCAGGTTATTCCTCTTGATAGTTTGCATTTCATTTAACTCTCTTGTTGACGTGGATTGATCTTCCCTTGCATTGTAGCTTTTGTTTGGTCTTTAAATGCAAATTGGAGATTTTTTTTGATCCAGGGTTATGCGTAGTTTGGGCATAGATCACATACTTCGTGTTATCTTGAGGAATCGTTGGTTTCTGTACTGATTCCTCTTTGTGGTTTAAAGTGGAGTATTCTTTCTAGAATGGATGATCTTTCTCTTCAGTGTTCCTTCTGTCTGTGTTGTTAGATACACAACAGGGCATATTTGGGCGTGTCCACCAAGTGAAGGAGACGACTACATCTTCCATTGCCACCCCCCTGACCAGAAGATACCCAAGCCCAAGCGACTGCAGGAGTGGTACAAAAAGATGCTTGACAAAGCTGTGTCCGAGCGAATCGTCCATGATTACAAGGTCAGGACCGGGGCTGACAGCACCGTGGCTTGACTAGTCCTGCTGCTCTGTATTCCACTTGTTTTACTACCTTAACAAAAATCTTGTGTTTCTTCTCACTCTTCCATGTAATTTGTAAAATAAAGCTAATTTGATAGAGTTTTTTCCCCTGAATTACCATTAGATGAAATAGACTCAGCAAAATATTTGATAATGATTTGTGACTGTAGGGTATCTCATAATAAGAAACTTGAGCTGTTAAATTTCTTACTTGTTTTTACTTATGGGGAGGGAAACATGAACTGGTGTTGTCCTAATAAGCAGCCCAGAAAATCATTCTTAACTATATGGTTTCTAGTATCTGTAACTGGGATTTTTCTGAACACATCTCTCAGTAGAAATGGCCAATATTTCTAGGGTTTTTGCAAGGCCAGTGTGCCTCCCATCACACTGCATTCTGTCTCAGGAGTGCTGGAGGCACAGGTGTGAATGCTGCTGCCTCTGCGTTTGTTCCCGACAGAGGCATTTGTCACTTGGTGACATAAAGGCAGATAATCTGCCTGTCTTCACGGGTAGAGGAAGGAGGAAGTCAGAAATGCTGACTTCAGACCAGACCTTTTCCCTGTTGGCGACACTGTCTCCCCAGGCACCAGGCTTGGGCATAAAATCCCTGCCGTCTTCCAGAAGACACATCTGGTTCTTCATGTTTCTTGCGTCCTTTAGCTGTGACTCTGCTGCTGTATGATAAACGCTTTTGTTTTTTCCCAAAAAAATAGACATTGCTATTTGTTCTTGGATATTTTCACAGGATATTTTAAAACAAGCTACTGAAGATCGATTGACAAGCGCGAAGGAATTGCCTTACTTTGAGGGTGATTTCTGGCCCAACGTCCTGGAAGAGAGCATTAAGGAACTAGAGCAGGAGGAGGAGGAGCGGAAGCGGGAGGAGAACACGAGCAACGAGAGCACAGATGTGAGGGCTCCGCGTCTCCCTGTCCCGCCTCTGCCCGTGTGACCCAGACCTGAGCTGAGGCTTCCAGCGGGCCCTGGGGCTCTCAGCTCTCTAAACTGGGCAGGCGGGGAATTTTGGTGTAGATAAGTTAACTGTGGTTCTAGTTTAGAGATTTTAAGCCCTTTTAGCACCAGACATCATTTTTAAGTGGAATCTTGGATTTCTAGTAAAGGAAACCCTGGAGAACAGAACATTACCTGTCTAGAACACAAGGTTGATAAACTGTTTGTGCAACAGTCTGAATTATGAATGTTTCAGGCCTTGCAGGCCATATATTGTCTCCAGCACATTCTTTTTTCTCTTCTTCTTTAAACAACCGTTTAAATGTAAAAACCATCCTTCTTAGCTGTACAAAAAACAGATCTGGGCCAGAGTTTACCAGTCCCCCAACAGAAGCTGCCTAATAGCAGGTCATCTGAGGAGTTTTTCCTTGTCATTTATTTCCCTGTAGTATATCTCAATTGCCCTTGCTGAGTCTGAACTACTGAAATCACCCTTAGTCTAAGAACTCTTTACAGCCTGCAGTTAAGACTCCTCGACTGAATGTTTTTAAAGGTTTTTTTTAATAGTAGGTCCATAAAATTTTAGAAAGTGAGTCAAAGGAAACAGAGCCAGGGCCTTTGGCTCCCTACTCCCATGGACACTTCACTACCTGCTGCTCGCTCCTCTCCCATCCTCAGACTTGGTATGGCCTGGCTCCACCTAAGGTGGCTTCTGGTCCGCAGCTTTCGCTGGCCAAAGAGCTGAGGCTGTTGGTATCTAATAAAGAGACATCAGCAGCGATTTTTCACTGGGAGAAAATTAATGCAAAAACATTAGTAAACCTTAGTTTACTGTAAACAACAGCTTTAGAAAGAGGAGCAATGAAGAGAGAGCAGCCGTTAGGTTACGATCTGTTGCTCCATTAGAAACTTGTTCTTAACAGTTATTAACAAATAACTGTTCTAAACTTCTAAACAGTCTCTTAACAAAGAGTTATTAACATTTTCTTGTTCTCTTATGCTAACCTGCAGGTGACAAAGGGAGACAGCAAAAATGCTAAAAAGAAGAACAACAAGAAAACTAGCAAAAACAAGAGCAGCCTGAGTCGGGGCAATAAGAAGAAGCCAGGCATGCCTAATGTATCCAACGACCTCTCACAGAAATTGTATGCCACCATGGAGAAGCACAAAGAGGTAAGATAAGAGAACAGCCCCCAGAGTGGAAAAACCAAGGCCAGGGTCCTCCAGAACTCCCCACCATGGTTGGTATTTATGATGTGAACACCAGATCATTTGAAACTCAGAAGGAAAAAATCATTTGAGGGAGAAGAAAGCAAAGAGAGGGTGGTGAGAACAGGAAATGGTAAGGTGTCTTACTTAGATTTGTAGCTGTCACAAAACTAGATGGTGTTGGGGAAAGTGTAAGCATAGTTTGTCTGACCCTATTGTTGGTAACCGTTTTATGTTTGTGTTTCTGTCTATTGTTCAGAAGATTGGCTTGTTGGATATCTTTTGGGTATCTTTGTGGTTTTGCTTTACACCAAAGCCCCTTAGAACTCCATTTGGCCATTCAGGTTTCTAATGGAGCTTTGGCAAAACGAATGAATGTTTTGCCTTACTGAAAGGGAATTGGCAAATGGAGAGAATTGAAGAAAAGAGTTAAACTTTCATATATGCACTTGTGAATGCCTTCACAGCAAAGTTAAAACTTTGAATTATTTCATTATTTATATTGTTTATTTATTGTTTGGGAATATGAGTATGTTGGCTTTTTTTCTGCTTCGACATTATTGTTGGTAAGATAAGGCATCTTGAAGGGTCATGTTGGTTTGTTTAAAATCTGTTTACCTCCATGTTCAGACATCAGGTTCTTACAGGAAGAGGCTATTAATGTGGAGAGGGAACTGATGGCTTGATTTTAGGTGTGGAACTCTGTCATAACAGCGATTGGGAAAGGCCCCTAGAGTATGTTGTAATAGGTGTGACTTCAGTTGTAGATAGATCATCTGAAGAATATGTGGGTAGTAGTCTCCTGTTAGTTAGAATCTAATGTGATCAGTTTATTAAATTTAGCTATTGTTTAGCTCTAGGGTGACATACAGCAGAATCAGTCACAATGGGTGTTACTGGAGGTTGGCCATAGTGAAGATTTCCTAGGGAGTCACCAGGTCGCAAGGTCAAATGCAAGTCCTCCTCTGAGCTTTTAACTCTGACTTTCATACATCTTTACTCAGGGTGAATGCTCCTTGTCCTATGTTGTTTTGTGGCATGCACAATCTTAGTCCTGTGTCCTGTCCCCCACCCCCACCCCGGGGCCGAACCCATGCCCCTGCAGCAGAAGTGCAGAGTGTTAACCACTGGGCCACCAGGGGAAGTCACTATGTTCTTTTTCCTGACTTTTGTTCTATGCCAACATTGCTGCCCAGATATGTAACATATACTGCCAGTTTGCACAGATTTTCAGCCTCAAAAATACTGACAGAATATAAAAGTGGGAAATACAGCAGTTAAAAGTTCTTTTTTTTTTCCCCCCAGTTACAAATTCTTGATCTCTTGAAGGTTCCATTTTACATTTTATTATTACAGAAATAATAGCAGCTTCCTCTTGGAGCCTTTATACCAGTGGTTATGGGAATCAGTGGTTGTGGTGTGTCTTTAAACTTCAACAAAAAATTTTTCTGTTCCTGTAGCAAGGAAAAAGGAGGTTTTGCTTTTTATTTTTCCCACCCCTACCAATTTTTTTTCCTTCCAAACTTAGAGGAAAGTTCTACAGAAGATGCCCTCCTGGTGCCTTCACCTAAATTCACCAGTTAACGTTCTGCCACATTTTATTTCAGTAAGCTCCTCCTAAGACAGAGGACACGCTCTGCATAAGTGTGCTGTGACTTCACACTCAGGACACTTCACCCTTGCTGCCACCTCCCGTCTGTGCCTCTGCTCCATGTTGAGTTGCCGTGTCTCAGTTCCTGGCCTTATTTTCTTTCATGACATGGGCATTTTGTGAAGACTCCAGGCCAATTGCTTTGTAGAATATCTATCCATTTAGGTTTTTCTGATTTGTTTCCTTATGATTAGAGTCAGGTTAAACCATGGATTGCATCTTAAAAGTTGACCTCTTTGAAGCAGAATGTCCCCTGTATGGCGCTGTATCTGACCATTCTTCTTTTGAAGAATTACTGAATGAGGTAGGAAACATAAGATGTAGATGTTTTAGGCCATTGTAGTCAGTTTCAAAAAAGAGAACAGAAATGCATGAAGCAGGAGAACGAGGGCTGTATTGTGTAACCTTGCAGGGTGGTCACAAAATGAAGCCAGGCATCCCAGCCCCCCAGGTGCGCACACCCGCCCACAGCTCTCCGCGACACTAGAGCCAGAGTCCAGAGGAGACTGTCTGTTTTGCAGGTCTTCTTTGTGATCCGTCTCATCGCCGGCCCTGCTGCCAACTCCCTGCCTCCCATTGTTGACCCTGACCCCCTCATCCCCTGTGACCTGATGGACGGGCGGGATGCCTTTCTCACCCTTGCAAGAGACAAGCATCTGGAGTTCTCGTCATTGCGAAGAGCCCAGTGGTCCACCATGTGCATGCTGGTGGAGCTGCACACCCAGAGCCAGGACCGCTTTGTCTACACCTGCAACGAGTGCAAGCACCACGTGGAGACACGCTGGCATTGCACCGTGTGTGAGGTAGGTCCCTTGGCGGGGAGGGCTAGGGGCTTCCAGGTACGTGAGAGGCGGTTCAGAGGTGGTGCTGGCCTGGGGGCAGGCTCCAGGGCCAGTGTGAGGACCAGAACAGGCCAAGTGGGGCCTGGTCTCAGATTTGAGTGGTTGGGCTAAAGCAGCTTTCTCTAAAATGGGGCTTTTTAGCCCAAGCAGGATATGTAAATGCATTTGAATGGCTTGAATCCTGCACCTGTGTTGACCTGCACCTGTGTTTTCCCCAGGATTATGACTTGTGTATCACCTGCTACAACACTAAAAACCACGACCACAAGATGGAGAAGCTTGGGCTGGGGCTCGACGATGAGAGCAACAACCAGCAGGCTGCCGCTACGCAGAGCCCGGGAGACTCTCGCCGCCTGAGCATCCAGCGCTGCATCCAGTCACTGGTGCACGCCTGCCAGTGCCGCAACGCCAACTGCTCGCTGCCGTCCTGCCAGAAGATGAAGCGGGTGGTGCAGCACACCAAGGGCTGCAAGCGCAAGACCAACGGCGGTTGCCCCATCTGCAAACAGCTCATCGCCCTGTGTTGCTACCACGCCAAGCACTGCCAGGAGAACAAGTGCCCCGTGCCCTTCTGCCTCAACATCAAGCAGAAACTCCGGCAGCAGCAGCTGCAGCACCGGCTCCAGCAGGCCCAGATGCTGCGCCGGAGGATGGCCAGCATGCAGCGGACTGGCGTGGTGGGGCAGCAGCAGGGCCTGCCCTCCCCGACCCCTGCCACCCCGACCACGCCGACAGGCCAGCAGCCCACCACCCCACAGACGCCCCAGCCCCCGCCCCCCTCTCAGCCCCAGCCCACGCCTCCCAACAACATGCCGCCCTACTTGCCCAGGACTCAAGCTGCTGGCCCGGTGTCCCAGGGCAAGGCAGCAGGCCAGGTGACCCCCCCAACCCCACCTCAGACTGCTCAGCCCCCGCTTCCGGGACCCCCACCTGCAGCAGTGGAAATGGCCATGCAGATTCAGAGGGCAGCCGAAACGCAACGCCAGATGGCCCACGTGCAAATCTTTCAGCGGCCAATCCAGCACCAGATGCCGCAGATGACTCCCATGGCCCCCATGGGTATGAACCCGCCCCCCATGGCCAGAGGGCCTGGTGGGCATTTGGAGCCAGGGATGGGGCCCACTGGCATGCAGCAGCAACCCCCGTGGGCCCAGGGAGGACTGCCCCAGCCCCAGCAGCTGCAGTCGGGGATGCCCCGGCCAGCCATGATGTCAGTGTCACAGCATGGGCAGCCCCTGAACATACCTCCCCAGCCGGGCCTGGGCCAGGTAGGTGTGAGCCCTCTCAAGCCAGGCACTGTGTCTCAACAAGCCTTACAGAACCTCCTGCGGACTCTCAGGTCTCCCAGCTCCCCCCTGCAGCAGCAACAGGTGCTCAGTATCCTTCATGCCAACCCCCAGCTGTTGGCCGCGTTCATCAAGCAGCGGGCGGCCAAGTACGCCAGCTCCAACCCGCAGCCCCTCCCCGGGCAGCCAGGCCTGCAGCCCCCCGCCATGCCGGCGCAGCAGGGGGTCCACTCCAGCCCCGCCATGCAGAACTTGAACCCCATGCAGGCAGGCGTCCCAAGGGCCGGCCTGCCCCAGCAGCCCACACAGCAGCAGCAGCTCCCACCGCCCATGGGCGGGATGAGCCCGCAGGCTCAACAGATGAACATGAATCACAGCACCATGCCCTCGCAATTCCGAGACATCTTGAGGAGACAGCAGATGATGCAGCAGCAGCAGCAGGGAGCGGGGCCGGGGATGGGCCCGGGGCTGGCCAACCACAACCAGTTCCAGCCCCCCCAGGGTGTGGGCTACCCTGCCCCGCAGCAGCAGCCGCCACCGCGAATGCAGCATCACATGCAGCAGATACCGCAAGGGAACATGGGACAGATGGGCCAGCTCCCGCAGGCCCTGGGAGCAGAGGCGGGAGCCAGTCTGCAGGCCTACCAGCAGCGGCTCCTTCAGCAACAGATGGGCTCCCCGGCCCAGCCCAACCCCATGAGCCCCCAGCAGCACATGCTCCCGAGTCAGGCTCAGTCCCCGCACCTCCAAGGCCAGCAGATCCCATCTCTCTCCAATCAAGTGCGATCTCCCCAGCCTGT